AAATTAAAAAATAAGGACCGAATTATAAGTGAATCAAAAGTTAAGGGACTGAGTCGCAGTGAGTTATAGTTGAGGGACTGAGTTGTAGCAAGTCATAGTTGAGGAACTGAGTTATAAGTGAGTTAAAAGTTAAAGGACTAAAAAATTAATTTTTCCTAGAATAAACATGAATTTAACTAAAATAGTCGTTTAAAATAGTAAGAGTGCATAACTCAAATAAGCATTTAATCCAAAAACATCCTCATATGATGATAACTCAACAATCAAATTTCACTTTATAACTCCTATGCTTGTATCAAACAGTTAGGAAATGCACATCTAGTTATAAAGATACCAATTCATGGAAATCAACTTGTTTAATAAGATTCATTGAAAATCAAAAATTTGAAAATATTTTTTAGCAGGACTTTATCAAAATGACTACAAGCATGGATACACAATGCACAAGAAAAAATAACAAACAAGTATGGACACACAATCTAGAGGGTAAGTAACCAATCAAACACAGCTGAAAGCCATGAAACAAGCACGGCAGGAGCCACAAATTAAGCACAAGCATAAGGCCCACGAAAATAAGCGTGAGTATAATGCTTATGAACTACCATCCCTCTGATCTACATGCGCTAACCATAGCATGAGGCTAGCATCTCCTTAGTACCCTACTAGCTAGGTGCACCATGGCACACCAAAAGCTAACAAGATTGCTGTTAGCAACCAACATTTTGTATTCAGTCCCACTAAAAGATTTTTAAATGTGCATAGAATCCAATTATCAAAAAAACAACATATCATTTTTCTCAAATATTGAAATTCACGAAAGAATATTGTTAATCATAAAACTTTTTTGACACAAGTTCTCATGCTTGGATGTTTGTAATTAGGATATTGAAAAATAAATATAATCAAATAAAATCTTTGTTTTAGACTCACCTTTAAATATCAATAATAGAATAAAAATTACAACATCATCTCTATATGTGTATGAAAATATGCTCAATTAATATTTTTAGGAAAAAAAATTTATTAACAAGTATTCACTTACCTGAAATATTTCTAAATATATAATTTACTCCAGATTAGTCATTTTTGTAATATTGCCCATGCCTTAATTCTCTAATACCCAAAGGGACATTATTGTTATTTCTTTTATACACTTTATAAATTCAAAATCTTCAGTTCAAACAAATTTAGAGAATTGACAAGGAGAATCTCAACATCAACCTTTCACGAATAAGAAATCATATTGAATTAAATGATAATCTTCAACAAACATATATATAAATAATATTCAAAGTTTCCAAGTCTACTTATAGAAAATAAACAACTTCTATGATTTAATCAATATTATCACTCAAGTATATCCAATTTCATAAACTTTCTTCACTCAAAAATTTCATCTAACACTTTATATGTACCAAAAATCCAACACAAGAACAACAAACTTGAACATATAATTATTAACCAAATACCTTTTTCCAAAATTTTCTACCTTTATTTCCCACCTTTCATTATAGAGAATAATTATCTTCTATAATAATTTAGTTAACAATACTACATTTCTCATATTTGTTTGCTATCCTAGACTAAAATTCGTCTACAGACAATTTATCAAATGCCTTGTGTGTATTCAAATCAAACCATACAACCACCATCCTACTCTATTTTTAAATATCTCTCCCAAAATTTTTCCAATCATCATCATCCTTTAAAACTGAGCTCTCACTACGCGATCAAAAGAGAGGACGAAAGCCGGCACACCGAGCTCTCACTCTCTCCCCTTGGTTCTGTAACAATCGCAAATGGGGAAGGAAAAATGTGAAAGCTGATGCGTGTTTGGGTTCTTATTAATGTCATTTTGGTAATTTCTTGACATTTGGCCAAAATAAATAAAATTCTCCACTTGGGCCAAAAAAAAAAACCTGAAATCCTAAGGGCATTTAGCAAATAAAATCACCACTAAACCACAAATAAATCTTATTAAATCTTCTCCCAAAAATTAATAAAATATACTTAACTACCTTATTATTTACTCTAACTTTGTGAATATGTTATAAGCTTTAAATTAATTTCTTTTAATTGTTAGCCCCTATTATTTATTGCATATTTTAAAAATTCCTAAATTCCCAAGTCATTACGCCTCTCCTATGAATAGGATGTCCCAAAAATTCTACAATATAATATTTTTATAAAAATATAGTATCAATGAGGAGTTCATCTCCTTCCAGTCAATAGACAACATATATATCAAAACAAAAACCTAGTTTTAGATTATGTGAAGCACCTAGTTAACCTTACTTTCAAAATAAAAAACATATGTTCAAATATTTACAAAAAAATAATGTTAAGCAAAATTCAACCTAGAATAGTTGTACATCCTTCAAAGATCAACAGTAAGATTAACGTCATCTAATGAATTTGAGACCAAAATAAATTTTTAATGAATAACATCTCAACAATAAATAACTAAATATGTGTAAAAGGAAAGTTTAAAATAATTATGTGTGCTAGTGATGACAAATTTCAAAAACAAATGTTTCATAAACTTCAACATAAAAGGGCTCTATGTAACTTTAAATAAAATCTTGATTTATTAAAGTATCATATCAAACGTCATTATCATTTACTTTTAATAAAGCAAAAAATTGCCTTAAATAATTATAAATGTCACTAATCCAAACCAATGAAAAATAGATCCATCAAATAATTAAAAACTCATAATTATAGAAACTTGTCTGAACAAGTAACAAACATGGACACATAGCCCATAAGGATAAATAACCAAATGCAAATTATACATGAAAACAAATGTGGACACATATTCCACAAAAGTAATTAATCAAATGCACACTGAACTACAAAACAAATGTGGACATACGGTTTACAAGAGTGATACTAACCAAACATGGCTTGCACTCACTAAATCAAACACAGGTAACATGAGTGCAATGCTCATGAAATTTAAACTAACTAGTCATTGTCAAAAGCGCTAAGGGTAACAGAACTACCATTAGTAACTAATATTCTATATAAAGTCCCTTTTAAATCAATTTCAAACATGCAAAAAAATAATCACTATTAAATAAAATTTTCATTTTCAATATCAAATTCACATGAATCATTTTCTGTATCAATTTAATATTTAATAAAATAGAATCTAATAATCAAAGTCCAAACTTGTATTTATTGATTAACTATCATTTCAAAATTGATAAAGCTAATTTCACAAAATAAATAGTTTAATCAACAAAGTATCCAATAATCACATCGTTGTTATAAAAATAATTTACATAAAAATGTAATATTTTAATAAGGGAATTTTTATTAAAAAATCTATTGGAATGCTATTCACTTACCTAAAAATTTTAGAATTCAAATTTCTCCTCTCAACTTTAATCAAATTTCTCCTCTTTCAAATACCCTATAAATTATATTAATATTTTATTCAATTCTCAGCCATTACAATAATTCCTTTTCAATATTTCACTAATAATCAACTATAATAAGTTTGAAACTTTAAAACCAACACTTAATACTTAAAAAATATTCTTCATTAGCATTTTGTCAAGGCACCAAATATATATCCTTTTTAATCCCCTCATAAAAACTCTATTAATTCAAATAATCATGTATTATTAATTCCTAAGTCAAATTTCTTTGTGACATCCTCTAACAAACATTAATTTCAACAAACATCTTATAGGTATTAATATTCAAATTTTATACCTAAACTATTCTCTTCCAACTTCAGTCTAACAATTCTTCAACATCAACTAATCCAAACAAAATTAATTTAAATTGAAAAATTATGACCCATATGTACCCTCATCATACTTCAGTATTAATTTTATTTTTTTTATTATTATTTTTTAACAGCCTAGGAAAGCAACAGAAAAATGAAGAGGGGAATTGTTTCATCACGCGCGCGTCAAGGAGAAAGAAAGAAGAGATCGTGGCTTTTCACCTTAGATGAACCAATGACACACAACAGGGGAGGAGGAAAAGAATCTCGTCTCTGCACAGGGAAGGAAGGGAGGATCACTATGCAGCCACACCAACAACAAAGGAGGAAGAATTTCATCGATCTGAACAGAGGCGGAGAAAAAGAGGAGGTATGAATCGATGCAGCCAATGGAAGAGTAAGACCCGATTTACTCTTTTACCGCAACAAGAACTGAGTAGGGAGAAGAAGCATCACTAACCAACAGCAAAAGCAGGAAAAAAAAACAAAACAAAACAAAACTGACAGTGGCACAAGAGAAATGGACCCATAATCTGTACCTCAACACAATGATACACTGGGAGCTCAAACATGGAAGAAGGAAGAGATCTTGCTGACAAACAGTAGCAGCGAGCGAAGCTCTTCTCCCGTCGACAGCCTGATGAACGGCGGGGAAACAAGGGATGAGGGTGAGTTCTCGATTCAGAGCATTACTCTGTCTCTCTCTCAAGTCTAGAAAAATCGAAGAAGAAGAAGCATGAACAATGGCTGCACGTGCGTTTTAATTTCCGATGCCTTCCTTCACCAGTGGTCTGAAGCTTTTTAAAAAACATCGAAATTTTCCCCATGTGCACTTAGAGATTTCGAACTTTGAACCTGGCCCTAAACATCCACAATAAATACCCCTGAGCCAACAACTCCTCTTGGTGGCCTTACCCCAAAATTAATAGCCATAAAATAAAAAAACTTAATAATTTAATTTTTTGAATTTAATTATTATTTTTTATCGTTATTTTTTAATTAAATTTGGGTCATCACATTTGATATGCGAAAACAACCTTCTCTCAAGCTTTGTTATAATCAAAATATAATGTATCAAACGCTCTTCGTTAACTTTTTTTCCATTAATTCAAGTACAGACTCAAGTGCATGAAATATATATAATGCATCTATCACATGCATGAATTACATAATTTTATGTAATTTTATGTGAACGTCATGAAACTAAAAGCATGGACACGATCGGTGAACATCTGCATCTGAAAAGTGGCTACTGGCTGCATCACCATTATCATCATCGATATCAATAGCAAATGTTTCATTCACTTGGTTGGCTTGACCGACTTGGTCGACTTTATCAACTTGATCGCCAATCAAAATGTCACTCCATCCATAAAATGACACAAGAATAATTCTAATGAAGAAGTCTCCAATTCGACGAAGAAAAGGAAGATGAGTTCTAAGCGAAAACTTTCCTAAAATACGAGCAAATAAGATGATGAAAATGGAGGCGAATCCAATGACGCTTATAACATCTGCAAGCAAAGTGTTGTTACTGACAACCAAACGTATAGCAGCTAAAAATGCCGCAGGCATGGTTACGAGAGCCACATAAACAAAACTCTTAACAAGTTCATATGCTCCTTCTGCAAATCAAAGATCACCAAGTGGGACCCATAGTAGAATAACAGAGCCAATGGTGGAACTGTACATAGCAATAGTGTTGAAAGCCATGAATATATTGAATAGTGTTCAATCAACCAAAAGTGCCATGCCTCTTTCTTTTGCAAGTGGATCATCCGATGAGTAAAACCCACTTGGTACTGTGAAACCAGCTGTAAATGTCACTTTGGCTATCGGCATGGCCACAAGCATGAGTGTGTTGGCCGCGTCTTTCACGTTCCATTCTTTATTGGTGGATGTTGTGCGTGGTATTCCTAGCATGTTTGCCTTCAAGGGAACACCAGAACTTTCCAAAATTGCATCTGCTAGAAACTGCAAGGTAATCAAATCAAACACATGCTTAATTACAAGCTACTTGTGCTGCGTATATATGTTAAGAAAAGCAGTGCCTGGCCATATAGAATGAAAATCTTCTAAGAAACTAAGAAGACAGCTCATAGATTCTTATCAATCATACCTCGTGACGTGTCTCGAGCTGTTAAACCTTCGTTATTGACAAGGTTCGAATTGATCATTTTGTGTCGTGATAGAAGGAGTAGCGTCCAAAGACGCAGTTTTCTTGAAGCCAGATGTAATGGGGTATCACCATTTACATCTCTCTCATTGGGAGTGTCATGATGAATCTTGGGGTTCTTCAGCAGATATTTTATCATATCAGTTTGGCCCTTCATTGCTGCAATGTGAAGAATGTTTTGACCTTTACTATTCAAAAAAGTCCAGCATTAGACCACTCTGTTTCAAGCAACTTGTTGACCACTTGAACATGGCCTTTTTTACAAGCAAGGTGAATTGGAAAATTGCCATCTGAGTTCCGTTGAAAAGCAATCGTTGGAGATTTTTCTAACATCGTGCAAACTCCTCCCAGGTAACCCACGTATGCTGCATAGTGAAGAGGAGTGTTGTTCTTCTCATCTCTTTGATGCATTAGCTCTTCTCTTGTATCCACTATCTTCTACAATAGAGCTTCACGGGGGAAAAGAAATAAATAATCGTATATGTTGGGAGCTGCACAAATTATAAATGAAAATAAATAGGATAAAACAATTGAAAATTATAAAGAAGTTAGATAAAATGATAAAAAAATAACACAATAAATTTAATGCGGAGAAACCCCCAATATATAAGCTACAAAAATCTCATGGGCAGCGAGCGAGAAATTTTATCATAAAAAATGAGAATTATAATAATTTTCTCTCTATTATGGGTGACTGAGAGCCATATATATAAACTCAACAACTAAATATATTATCTTAACTAACAATAAATATTTTCTAAAATCTCAAATGAACGTACGATAGATTTTAAACTGAGATAATAAATATAAATAATTGTAAATGATTATAAAGATTTGAGTCAATAATCTCAATAGTATATAAGGGCAAAGTGAAACAAACAGAAACATAAATAAAGCAAAATACAAATAAATTAAAATTCAGAGTATACGGACCATTATTTCGTTCTGATATTGCTGCATGAAGTGGAGAGCCTCCGCTTGAAATGGCCTGGCCCGAGGGGATTGGAATCTTTTTCAGGAGAAGACGAAGAATACCTTTAGTCCCTGTCAAGACTGCCAAGTACATTGGTGATTTACAGCCATAACTGGAGTTCCAAGTCCAATAAGCGGCCAAATCACTTTGGCTATGTGAAAGTAAAAGGAAAAAAACCACAGAAAGATCCTCGCTCAAAACAGCTTCGTGCAAAGCTGTCCTTCCATAATTATTGCGTAACATTATAAACTCTGCTTTATCCTTCGATTCATCCTCCTCAGATATCATTTCATGTTTATCCGTGTTGAGAATGCTCTTGATTGCAAAAATATTCTTAGCTCTTGCAGCAACATGAAGTGGGGTATCCCCATTCAGATTTGTCTTTATAGAGAAGCTTAGGATAGTGAAAAGCAATGAGCCTCACAACTTCTTCACTCCCACATTCAGCTGCAGCATGGAGTAATGAATCACATGTGGGAGTGACTTGATTGAAAATGGTCGCCAAAATTGACCCCATCTAGTAAAACATACTTGCTTCAACACAGAAGCAAATTTATCTGCATCTGCATTTTTATCACGAACCCTTGATACAACTCATAATACATAATATGTACCGTGTTCTCACTAAACAGCACATCCTGATCAACTGAAGAACTGAGCTCCTTTTCTGACATCAAAGAAAGATTGAAATCCAATTCCATCAGCTCACGCATCTTTTCGTTGGCACTGAGTTGTATATCATCCGCTGATGATGAACTGAACAACTTTTCCATAAGACTACGCGTCTTTTTGTTGCCAATTATAATTGCCATATCAGCATCACTTTGCATCAGTTCACTCATCAATTCGCTGATAAATGAACTGGACTGTCTCTTTAGCCGTCTATTTGCTTCCTCCTCGAGAAACCTTTCGATGCGCACCGGGTCAAACACATCTAAGGTTATCTCAGAACAATCCAAGTCGCTCATTGCTACTAGCTCTTGAATCAAATGCAAACTGCCGGAAAGGAAAATCTCGTAGTTGATTACCCAAGTTGATCAGCTTTTCGTTTCAGCGCTAGGGGGGACCTATATATGCATTGTACAGTTTCAAGTCACAGCGACTATACAGATGAGACGCGTTATGGTTCTTAATTGGTTGGTTTACGGGGAGAAATTAGAATATTATATGCAAGATTACTAATTGCATTCCTTAAAATATCTGCGTGTGATAATGGTAGCTATTTGACTATACAAATACTATACCGGAATGAAGAAGAAAATCAGAGGCAGGCCAACTTCCAAAATTTACAGTGGACTTTCTTGTGTTCACATTCTTTGTTCAGTAAGAACAGAGCGATTGCCCAACTCAAATTATTTTTTTTTAAATATAAAATATTCATATGTAAGTAATAAATGCAAGATTATTTATTTTATTTTATTTTATTTTATGCTGCACTGATAAAATATTGTATCTTTAAGTTCATATTTGATCATAATTTTTTATTCTTGTATATTAATTTTTCTAATAGTGGAAAAGGAGGGCACAAGTGGTAGAGTGGCCGAAATCAGGAGCTTTAATTTTCGGAGACAATGACAGGTAAACCACACATAGCATGTTTAGTTTTTATATATATATATATATAGATATATATAATAAAACCATGAATAATAACTTCAATATGTTTAATGATGCCGATATGGCGATATCTAATCAATGTAAATTTAAATTTATAAAATTGGCATACAAAACAATCAGATAAATTTTTTTTTGACCCAAAAACAATCATATAAAATTGGATACATGATTCACGCTATATCGTTGTGCATTAGTTAGCTTTCTTTTATTTAAGTTTTTACGTCACCATCATGGGAGAATTACACATAAGTTTCAATAAAAATAATTAATTACTCCCAAATTCATGGGCAACTGAACTTAAAAAAAAAAAATGCCAACACAATAGTCCATGGGCAATTGAGTTTAGGATATTGACAATAGTCCGTGGACAACTATGTTGTCATTCTACAAAGCTCTATTGTTCATAGATTTGGGGGTAATTAATTGTCTCGAATGGAACTTAAATTCTCCTAGATGAATTTGATTAAGATGATTTTTCCACGTTGGTTCCTAAGGAACAGGCATCGAAGTATGATTTGCAGTTTAATTCCTTGAGAATTTGACGTGAAAATTACTTACTACGTGATAGGAAATTTTGATTTTGATTTTTTTAAATCTCTGAGTTGATTCATGGAGGACTTGACATGGAAATTACTTAGGTTATTGAAATCAAATTACCCCCCAATTTGAAAATTATGAAATAAGAAAATTCGACCTAAATTCTAGAGGACCGAGTTTTTTAAGATTAATATATCTAACTAATATAAGTTTTTTAAAAATCAATATATATTAAACTCTACGTTACACTATCCCAATTCCCACCCGCACCATTTCTCCACTACTAGTTAAGCAGTTATATATTATATTAAGCAATTAATGGCTACAGCTAGCTTGCAGCTACTTGATGCTGTCTGCTTTTAAATCTTAATAAATGAATAAATCAAGACTAAAAAAATAAGGTGACTTAAGATAGTCTTACTTACACATGGTCGCATGTTATATTAACGAAAGAGAAGAGGCAAATTAGTGGTCTTTGGCTGAAATATTAATGTCATCAACAAGATACCATTATGACATGATAATGTTTGATTAAATACTGCGAAGAATGATTTCACCATATGATGACTAAATAGTTCGTATTAAATATCATTACTGTAGTCTCCCATCTACCATGCGTGACACGCGTACTTGAGACTTTGTTTGATATGCACACAAAGGTTCCCTTTCTTCAGAAAATGTTGTTAAAACAGAGTGTAGAGTTCTGCAGAAAAGGAACAAAATCGTCGGGGAGCACCACCGGAAAAGAAGGGAGAGCAAAACTGAGCAGAGAGTAAGGGAAGTTTATTTATCACTAGATTCAGATTAATATAAAGCTTGAGCTTTTCATGAAACTTTATTTATCTATGGATCGATCACTATTGGTTTGGTTTCTCTCGTTTAGGCTATCCAACCTAGACAATTAGATCGATTGAATCGCCACCTGGATGCAAAAGCGGATCAGCTTGACTTGTTAACCTGTTTTGGTAATTATCTTGTCTTGAATCGAGTAGTTTTTGCAGAATCAGAATTAAACAAGAACATGGAACGGTTGAACTTTTCTTTTTTACTCTTATTTTAGTAATGAAAATTTTATTTAATTTAGAAATATTAATTTCAACTTGCTTCTAGGTTGTTATGGTAAAATTTTCAGTACGTATGATTTATTTATTGTGGCATTGTATGAATTAAAGTATAGATAAAATTGAAAATTCATTTGCTTTATTAAGAGGATGAACAAGGTAAATAAAAAAATACATATGAAGAAATTGGAAAATTAAAATTTAATATATTATAGATGAATAATGCTAAATCAAAAATAATATTGTGAGCATTTTTAAAGTTTTATATACGTACATATAAATATTATTTTTTATTTAATTATTATATTATCAGTTCATCATTTAGTTTTGTTTTTAAAACATTGTTTTTCACGGTAACCATGACCAATTAAATCATGGTAACCATGACTTGCTAACCTTTCTAGTCCATCATTTAGTTTAGTTTTTTAAAATATTGTCTCTCATGCTTCGTGCCACTGTTATCCTTCTTATCTTGTAGTTGATTGTATTTCTAGTGTAGTTTAACACACACATTCACTCATGGTTATGGTGATGACGTAATTAAATATAAAATACATTAACGAGTGGAGGGAGAAAAATCAAGCAAGTGTACATTTGAAAATTACATATTTCGATACACTTGCGGATAATAAACAAAAATGGATACCCATGCTTCCCCAAATAGAACAGCCTCGGACAACTCATACATCATAACTAATTCATTAACGGAAGACTTGTGTGTGAACACGAATAACTAGTTCAGCTTAAGTGCAAAAATATAATTCAGAAAATGGTGCATGTGACCTCCATGAATCGACAACGCAGGTCAATGAATGTTAACTATTTTAAGGCATTGCTCAATAATGATACTGTTTTAAAAAAAATCAAATTATGTGATATTCACGGGTGTGGACAGTGAAGGTGTTATAATATATATGAGTTATTCTACATCCACACACACACACACACACACACACACATATATATATAATTCAATGAATGTTAACTATTTAATGCGGGCTAGCGTGCTTGAGAAAGGACTAGACATACATCTCTATATATATACAGCATTATATTTATATGCAATAAACAGTTCAAATCATTGCAATTATACAGATTGGTGACACACTGGATGGTTTGTTAGATGTTGCGCGGATAGATTTGGATATTGTGTGATTAAATATGAATTTTTTAGTCATCGTGCGAAATCACTTTTTTAATAGCAGTCCATGAAAAATAAGCACGTGCTAATGGTATTTATTTGAATATGCAAATTCTTTTGGAGACTAAATTAAACGCACTTTAACCTTCTTTTCCTCTTTCACACTTAGTTGGGTAAAAAGGCAAATTTGTCCTTTAATTACATGGCCAGTATCATATAGAACTCTAATTTTTGTTTTAATGCAAATTTGCTCCTCAATATTTAAAACGTCACAATATACCTCCTCCTATTAATTACAAATTAAAGATATTGACCGAGAAGTCATACAAGAAAAAATGTGCCCCCACGACACTAAACTAATGCCTCCTAATGCCAAAAAGTCTCATCTGTTCGTAGATGAATTTTATCTGACCATCAGATAGAATGAAAAGTTGAGATTTTGGACATTAAGAGCCAATAAACAAATGCAAGAACATTAGCACCAGATATTTCAATTAAAGATACATCATATTATATTAAGGAATTATTAAATTGACTACAGCTGGCAGTCAACCGATGTGTTGCTTTTAAATTTCAATAAATGAAGAAATCGCGATTAGAGAAGGAATTTTTTTTTTTTTTTTAATGAGAGGAATTGGTTAACATGGTCTCCTTAAGTACATGGTGGCATATTATAAATATTTATGAAAAACATCAAAAGACAAAATGGTCATCATTAGGGGAACTTTTATATGCAATAAACAATTCAAGTCATTGCAATTATAGAGATTGCTGATACTTGATTGTTCGTTA